TACCAAATGAATGTTCAAGATGGTTCTATTAACTTCCTATAGCTATTTTTCTGTATTTTAAAAGCCTAAACCTTTCATTTTTAAAATCCAGGTAATGACCACAACCACTATGCTACTTCCCTTAAAGAGTCTCTTCTAGCATTGGTTTTCTTGTTGACCCAGAATAATGAGCTCATAATTGTGAATGCTGAAGCCTCCTTACTCTTCTGCCGTTCACTGCAGGTCATCACGCGATCGACTGCATGAATTAATCGAAATCCGTCGGGCCATAGTAGCAGGCTCCCGACGCGAGCTAGTCGACCTCGAGTTCTTCCTCAACACAACTAGCAGAGGCATCTTCTCTGTTGATCGACCAGGTGTAGGTGATGGAGGCTTACAGTCATCAGAACAGGCTCCATCCGCTTTAGGCCAACGCGATCTACTCGGGCTGGAGAAAATTCCGGACGCCGTCAGTCCTGCGCCTTCCACTGGGGGCGCTGTAATTCGCCGCGTTGGCGGGGCCAGAGGCGACGGCTATGACTACTTGCTGGATCGTCTAGGCCAAAGGGAGCGTGGCTTGACAGCCGGTCGGCCGGATGGGCTGGCTTCCCTCCGTCAACGCCAACAGTCGCACACTGCCTACTTGCTTAGTCGAGCTGCTTACGAAAACGAGCAGAGTGGGGGTCTCTTAGACGGTTTAGAAACCCGACTCGGCCTCTTTAGTCAAGTCTCGAAGCCGTTCTCCAACGCCTCAGTGAGGATCGGCTAACAAGATGCAACCTCTATAGGAGAGTAAGTTTAATTTCTCCCCTAGTTTTCAATAATAAATTCGCTGAGCCCCTACATTCTGCATTTGCAAGATTAAATGCCACTAAGCTGAGGTTATCGGATAGTCGTCATGACGACCATAAATTGTGTGGCATTTTAGGAAGAAAAACTGGGTTTCGAAGACTTCAACAATCTTACTTACGCGACAATCCTCCTTCGGTTTCCGGTGAGACCACGTTACCAATTCCTTCCAATCAACTTTCCCTTCGAAATGAAAAGTAGTGCCACATTGTGGCCTTTTGTTTGGCCACTATCTCAATTCGTATGTATAAAGAAGTTATTTTTCATATATAAGTAGAGTTTCGAGACTACCAGTAAATCAGTAGTATGAGATATATTCAACCAATTTCGTTTAAGGCGATGAAGGACTGGTAGTCGAATTTTCCCACAATGATATGAGTAGAGCTGCTGTTTCCATTCAATTTTACATAGCCTTGCTTTTACAAAAGTTATTCTCATCCAGTGTGGACTGCAATTTCGACCTCGCATCAGTCTTATCAACACCCCCAGGGCGAGTCGAACCGTGACAGTGGAGAATGGGAACTTGACACCATAACCACTAGGCTATACTGCCACGAATGCCCTTGGCTCATAGGGAAAATGTGAATTTCAAGGAATTGGGTGAATACATATCATATTATTGACTTACTGGTAGTCTCAAAACTCTACTTACATATGAAAAATAAGTAACTTAGCCTATTGTTATAGCAAATATACGTTTGTTTAATAGACAATCCCTTTAAATGGTAAAAGGCCTGGCCTTCCTTGGAATTCACAATTGCCCTGTGACCCAAGGGCACTCGTGGCAATGTGGCCAAGTGGTTAGCATGTCAAGCTCCAATTCTGCACTGTCACTGTTCAAATCCCTTTGGGGATGTTAATAAGACCAATGCGAGGTCGAAACTGCAGTCCACTTCTGTTTGGATGAGAAAAACTTTTGGGAAAGCAAGGCTATGTGAAATTCAACGGCAACGTCAGCTCTACTCATAACATTGTGGAAAAATTCTACTACAAGTTCTTCATCACCTTAAACAAAATAGGGTGAATACATCTCATATAAAAAAGTTAGCCTTCCAAATATTCTTTAGTAAGTTGTTGTTACTCGACTTTCCATTTAAAAGGAATTTGCGAATTGATTATACTGGAAACCAAAAAAAGAATGTTGAAAAAAAAGAGCAAAAAAATATTCTTTTCTTTCGTTTTAGTATATTGATGCGCTAATACGAAAAGTTTGTTTTCTCGCTATGATGATGTCTGTTACAGTACAGGCCTTTTTTCATGTATTACACAGCGCATTCAAATGTAAAATCGACCTTTCGTTTTATTCTATTTTAGGATTAAATTAGTCTCAATACATGTAAGACTACATGTGAAATATGTATG